ACAAGCGGCAAGAACCGCGAAACCGGTCGTGTGCTTCCAGGGAAATTTTGACCAGTCATTCACATACTACTTATTATGAAATATATATATCACCGGCTCGAGAACAATCCTGGTGCCAACGCCAGAACAATATTAGCAATAACAATAACGCGGGGGGGATACAGAGTATAGGGAAAAAGACGTAACCGTCAGAACAGAAGATTACGAATAAGTGGAATAACAATTTTTTGTGTTTCACCGTACACCTTTTGAAATTTTTTTGTTGTTTGTGGTTTTTACGGGGCACGGGATTTCGACAGGCAGACTGCACTTCTATTCTGGGTCATATCTCTCAGCGTCTCTAACCAACGACAATCCTCATCCTTTGGGCTCCANGGAAGGCGGGCTGCACCAAACGAATTCAAAGCTGAAGCCAGCTTCTTCATGCCTCTAGCCCATGTCATGGTCTGACCACCGCGTCGCTTCTTCCAGCCTTGCCCGGCACGTGCGAAGAGAGTACAAAAAGGTAGTCTATGGGCAGGCATGCACAATACGTGATCAAGCCATCGGAGGCGGTGTAGAGCGATTACTTCTGTTAGAGAACGACCATCCGCACCCAACACACGACGACGGACCTCGTCATTGCTCACCTTATGTTCCTACCAGACACGAGCAATGCTTCAGAGACATCGGTGATCAAATACAAAAAGTCGATTAGCACCCTCCGCTCGGAGAGGCCAGGTTTCGCAACCGTAGAGCAGGACACTACGAACTGCGGTAATGTACACCCTTCCCTTAAGGGACAGTCAGATGTCATGGCGGCGCCACAGGTGTCGTAGGTTGGCGAAACCTACTCTAGCTTTCGCTATTCGTGATGTGATCTCGTCCCGAACACCACCACCAGCTGCGATCAGATAACTTTAGTAACAGATAACGGTGGACAAGTAGGAAAAGTTTGCTGATCAGCCGCAATGGGTAGATTGACGATTATTTCTAACAGACGCAACCAAACCGGAATGCGTCTGTCACCAAAGAATACCTTATTATTCATAGGCAGTGGGACCTGCTGATTGAACAGAACGGAAGATCACATAAAGCCTATTCCAAATAGACCGGTAGGAAATCAAATTCATTTTTTAATCTCCTCTACCCCTTTCGAAGATTAAAATGGCGGGACTGAGTAACTTTTGTACTTGCAGTTTGAGTTAAATGATAATAGTGAAGGGTCGAGACACCTAACCATTCACCACAACTAAAACCTGCAACAGAACAATCTGCGCTATACAACACGATACAGACAGCACAGAATCAGAAAAATGTCGATATCACGCAGTAGGTCTAAACGGACCAACTCATGAACCCAATTTTTCGCACAATCATATCACAGCATATCACAAAACGAGAGTAGAAGCTTTGACAAAAGTGACCAACCAGTTCGACACGTGGACCTAATACTTACTGTGGCTGTAGTGTGTTTGTACAAGCGCACAGCCTCACCACCTCTACCGACAAACTTTTTCGCATCAAGCCAGTGTTTCCCCCGAGTTGCGTTGACGAAATTCCACGTGGTCGCCTGACGGCGATCGGCATGAATGGCCACTAGACTGTCCCAGTCTGCCGCTCGTGTGGCACACATAGAAATTTGACTNCATCCGGGTAGAAGCCAGGATGAACGTTGATCTACACTGGCCTTTCGACTGTCCGGCACCCCCGGAGCGTAGGCTCGACCCAAACTCTTGTCCAAGTGTTGATTGAATGTGGAGAATATGCTGTAGGAGAATTGCGGGATGGGGAATAAGCCAGCGTATCGGAACAATAGGCATGAGCAACAAGAACACAGAACATGGAACGGAAGAACCTGATGACAGATAGAGAGAACTACTCATTGATTGGTAGTTGAATGCTACATCCTATGAATGGACGCGTAAAAAAATGTCTACATTTCAAGTATGGAACGCATCGGTGTGAATCTAGCCGTGGACAGATACTGTGACCATCAAGCGAAAGTTGTGGTAGACAGTGAACCACTTAAAGGGTGTGTGCGAAGACAATCGACACATCGGTCGTGTTTCTTCGCTAAATGGTACCATAGGTGAGATGCTGTACATGGCGCAGATCGGGTCAAAAATAGGAAAAAGCAGCGTGTTGGACAGGGAAATGGTCTCGGGCAACTGTCAGAAAACCAAAATGAGCACTATTTACTTGACCGTGACGTGAATAGCGCCAAAAATTCAGTCATCCAAAATTGTAAAAACCATGAGAAAGTACTTACCGCATAACGCTGTCCTGACCGGCGCTGAGTAGCAGACTACCACCTACAGACGATCCAGGCCAGAAACAGATTCGAGTTGGCGGTCGAAAGTGTCCAGCGCGTTTGTAGACCGTTCGAAGACTGCCATCAGGACGATCAAAACGAGAAACCTGGGACCAGGGTAGCGTACAAGTCAAGTAAATCGAACGTGCTCAGTTACAAGTGGGAACAGACACAATAGATTAGGCACTTGGCTGCTGATGCTAAAGTAGCACGATTAACATCGAATGCAATTGGTTGAGCAAAAAAAGCGTAAGCAATGCACGTATCGGATTTAATATCAAGGAGTACTTTCTATTATGTTATAATGGGGGTGATGTTTGCATTCAAGGAAACAGTTAAATGTAAAGCTTTAAAAAGGTATTAGCGATAAGCCTGTGTCATCCGAGCTGGAAAATTGGATCACCAGGAGAAAGTGGCAGGTGAAAGTTACGGGAAACCTTAGAAGGTAGGTCAAAAGATCAGATCAAACTAATATTCGATGCCAATGGCATTCGTGGTATGAACATTTATCAGAGACACATTTCGAAGAATGACCGACGGCAACCTGGTGAATGGCTGTTAATTCGATGACGGCTTCGGAACCAGCATCCATTAAAGTATGATTGTGTCGCAGTAGGAGTTGATGTGGATCGTATTTAAACCCTAAATGCATTGTCATCCTTACACTTGAATCAAGCGCTCATTCGGCACCAACAATCTCACGAGCACCTCGAGGGACAAAATGATGTATAAACAATTAATGGCAATTAATGGATTCCAGCTCCTGACGCTGGTTTACAGCCCGACGAAGTGGGTTTCGGGGGCCAGTAGCATCCCCAGGTGTCCTCAAATGTAACAGCTGATTCCACCTCCTATACACAAAGCGGGC